TTTAATTCGATTTTGAGGAATCCTATTAGATCATATTGTGGTAATAATATCATATTAACATAAAAAACATGAATAGCAGAAAAGATTTAAAGACATAACTAGAATAAAAAGAAACAATACATGGCATATGAAAGTGAATTAATCATATAGGGTGAGTGCTGGGAAAATGGACCAAATTGATTTTTTTTAAAAAAAAAGTTCCTAAGTAAAATAGATGTAAATTTGGTTATCTGATTCAGATCATTTGTTATTTCCAAAAAAATTTTTTGTCGATTTGGTTCCTTTTCCCAGCACTTATCCCATATATGGTATTTAGATTATTGATTCTAGATTATATATAGCACACAAATTATATGTTTTAGATTAGTTATTCAGATAACATGTGTTATTTAGATCATATGTGTTATTCAGATCATATGTATTATTTATATTATATGTATTATTTAGATTACATGATACTATGATCTAGAATAAGTGGAATACCACATGTGGTATCCTACTTCTGGCTAAAAATAAAATACATTAAACTTATTTATTTTATTACATACTATATATACAATTAATAAAATTAGTAGTTTTCTTTTATTAAAATTATTTTTTTTGATATAAAAAAAACTATTATCTAATATTTAATAATATTAAAAAAATTTATTATCTTATATTAAAAAATATTATCATTAAAAAAAAGCTACTTAGCATCATTATTATTTTTTTAAAAAATAACCTGTCATCTGATATTATTAAAATAAAAAAAAGAATACCTAACAAAATTATTATTATTATTATTTAAAAAACCTGCTATCTGAACTTATTAAAATAAAAAAAAACTATATAGTATTATCATTATTATTTTTTAAAAAAAACTGCACATCTAATATCATTAAATAAAAAAAACCACTTAGTATTGATAAAAAATAATTTGAAATCTAATATTATAATTAAACAAAAAATACCATCTGATATAACTATTATATTTTTTAAAAAAACTTATCTATCTGATATTATTATAATTAAAAAAAATGCTACTTGACATTATTGTTATTAAAAAAAAATTATATATATATTATATATAAAAAAATATGTTATCTAAATTAAAAAAATTTTTTTTTATTTTTTTACTATAAATTTTAAAGTAATTTTTCTGATATATATATCTTTCTTTAAATAGCATTTTATTTAAAATAATGTGTATTTTTCTATAAAATATTTAAGATTCTAATATTTAAAACAATTTATTAAATAACCTTTAATTATATTTAAACAATTATTTGCTTCATATCCAAAATATGAATTTAGAAAATAAGCTGATGTATAATATTATTAATAGTAGTTTTTTAGTATTTATGAATTATAAATGGGTTTTAAATATAAGCAAAATAATTTATTATTTTTATGTTTGATGCATTTTACTTATAATAATAGAGTTTCTAATATAATATAACGTAAATAAAGTATTACCTACAATATTAATATTTTATACGATTAGGTACGTTTATTAATTATTATTGGAATTATTATAATAAAATGTAAAGGAAAAGAAAATAACACAAAGTTTATTATTTAAGATTATCAGATGTTTCAGAATTTTATTAAACATTATATATGAATATGAATGAGTGTGAAATTTATATGTTATATATGAATCAATATATAGATGAATATATAAATAGATATATGAATAAATTTTTATTAAAGAAAATCCTGCCAGTTATATACATGAAAAACAACTAAATTAGCTGGAGAACAATTATGTTTAGTAGACTAATTTAGCTCTAACCAGTAGATAATAATGGTCAAATAATCTATGTCACACTAACTAAATGCTATTAAAATATATCGCTTATTAAATACATGTATAAAAAATAATACTAATAATAAAATAATAATAATAAAAATAAACTAATACTAATAATATTAATAAAAACAATACTTAATAAAATCATAATAATAAATGCTAATAGTAAGTTTAAATTGTGATAATGAATATTTTGCATTGCCTTTTCTCCTATATCATCCCTTTGGTTTTCTGGTTGTTCTTTGCAATATAATAAGAAGAATATATGCTAATAATAATTGCAACAATATCCAGTTAAAATGAACCAATTATTATTGGTTAACAATGATATGTTTTTTAATGTAAAATGTTATGATGGTGTGTAGTAGTATAGATTGTAGTGGAGCGGCAGGATCGATATATTAGTTATGAAACTAGAATAATTTAAAAAATTGTCTTTTTTACATACCACTATATATGGTTACCAGTATCTGGTGTTAATATTGATTATAGCTTTTTTTAGTTATAAAACAAATTTATCAGATAGAAGAGTGACACTTAAAAAGGAAGCATTCAAATGCTTAATCTTCTTAACATTAATCTAAATGAAAATATCAATTACAATTTATTAATGGATAAAATAAATTTTATTTTTTATATTTTACAAACGTGTGATTTTTGTTATAATATATGATACGTTAGCTTCAAGTGATTTTTTTTTAGAAAGGATTCATCGAATATATATAGTCACGTGCAAAAAAAACGTTGATTTATCGTTATATAAAAAAAAAATCAAATGATATATGATGTGGACATGAATAAATGACGTATTATTTCTTTTATAAAGTGCAACACCTCTCTTGGAATATTAGGTGGCTGAAATCAAAAAGGAAATATCACTGGTCAAAACATAAAAACCCTCATGAGTAACATTAAAATTACGAGAATCAAATAAAGTTTAAGGTTTCTATTTAGAAATGATCGGTATTATTAATTTATTAGGTGTGAAAAATGTAAGCGTCAAAAATTATCAATTAAAAAATAAACAAAGATAACATTCTTAAGATGATATAAATATAAAATAAATAAAAAGGAAAGAAAAGAAATAAATGTATGTAATTTTCCTTTAAACTTCCCATCATTCCAAAGTAAAAACAACATCATGATTTTTGTATGATCTCCATGAAATAAAAGAAGCGATGATAAATAGAAGGAACATTACCCAACTTAATACCATACTACCAAAAAATGCACGACATAAACCTTCGAAATTATAATTATCATTAATTGAATAAGTTTCATAGTTTGCACAATTCAAATGATTAAGATTTGTTGAGCCTGAAAAGAAATTCGGATTATTAGAAAATAAATCAATTTAATAATGTACCAATTTCAAAATACTTACTGGCTGAGAGCCATAAACCAACAAAGAAACTAAATGAGCGAGTTGCAGTTAATAATTTAATAATCGTTCGGAAAGTGATCACGAGTGGAATTAATAAATTAATACGTACATGTCAAAAATCAAGCTCATTTTCTTGAACTTGAAATGTGACCGGAATTTAAGGAAGGTACCGATATAAATAGCTATTTACACAGGAATTGAGTTGAGTTTTACTTCAATTTAAGAAATCAATGAAAAGAATTTATATGAAAAAGAATCTTGCCAGTGTAAATCCAAGAGAGAAGAACAACTGGAATATAAAAAATCTTTATACCGTGGCTTTAATATATAAGATTTGTTAATAATTTTATATAAAATGGTAAAAAAGGATAATAAATTCATACAATTTAAAATTAAAATAATAAGATTTCGGCCAATTTTGTTGATGCACGTAAAACGCATTAAAGAGCGTATATTGTACGATTTCTAAAAGAAAATATTTATTTATAAGCAAGAACTTTAGAGAATATTTTTTTTTAAAAAAAAAATAAAATAATAAATAAAATTCTAACCCAAGATCATAATAATTCCAATAACAGATATTTTGAAAATTCTAAACACAAAGTTGAATTCACGTTTCAAAACAAAACCATTTGATGTATTTGCTGCTTTTGACATCTTTAAAAATTCAAATGATTGTTATTATTTTCTAGGTATAGTTGAAGCAAGAAAAACAAAACAAAACGTTTCTTTATTAGATTTTTAATTTTTAATGCTAATTTTTATATAAATCATTTCGGTTCACGATTTTCAACTAAATTTCGGTATACTACCATATTGGGTTATGAACTCGCATGTGCTTACCGTGTTTATTTTGTTCTGAATAGCTTTGTAATAAAATAAGAATCAACTTGCAACATTTTCATATTGTAGGTTACATAGAGACCGACCGTTAATGAACTTATTGTGGCACAGTAATTTATGAGGCATTTTTTTTTAAAAAAATAATCAAATATACAACTTAAAATATTGTCATTATCTTCATTAATAGAGAACCGCAAAAATGTGATCCAATTTTGGACATAATGCTATAGCCAGGAATAAGAGGAATCCAGCATTTGGTTTGTCCAGGATCTGACTTCAATGAAGTAACGGTACTAAGTAATTTAGTATCATCTCGTACAAGCCATGTTCTATCAGCACGTTGAATACCAATATATTTATTATTAGTCTTTTTTTAGTATCTCAAACCATGATTGAATTGACTTGCTCTAAAAAAAGTAAAAATTTCAATACAACTATATTATATCAAGAATTTTTAGACTGATATTATATTTATAAAATAAATTTTTTCATTTAATAAAAGAATATTTTTTACCAGTTTTTTAATGTGTTGTAAGAGATTTTAAAGATGTTAATTAGAACGAACTGCAAAATTGGCAGTCCCTAATGGAAAATTGGCAACTTCGTTCAACTTCGTATGTGTTGATAAAATCTAAAGAACTTTATATTTTTTCTCATAGACACGTTTATTTCTTGTATTACCTATAATTATTATTATTTCACGTGATTATTAAAATGATTTAAAGAAAATCAAGTAGTGAGAGGTAATCTCAATATGTAATTTTTTTTTTGGTTTATTATTTGCTTTGAATACTCCGTCCTATATTTATAATTAAACAGTCCAGCTGTTAAATAATCGCGATCTAGATCCTATATACATTTTGTACAACTAGAATAAAAGATATAATGTTGTCTAAGAATTTGTTGTGTTGATGTATGTTATTGCACTAAGAAATAAAAATTTCAATAGGAATAGTAATTGTGAACCTTTCACTACCTTTAGGAGGTTGTTCTTGATGAATCTGAGTGAAGTCTTGGACCCAATTCGAGTACAAGACGGTGACGTTCACGAGGTGACAAATTTTTTACATCATTCGTGTTAATTCCTAAAAAAAAAAACGTTAGGATCAAATATGATCATTACTCAATCTTTAAATTTTATTAATAGGTAAAATACACTTACCCGTTAAGTTGGTATGCTATAAAATATTCACAAGGTATCATGTTAGAATGAACTTTTAATCAAATCTATTCAACGCGATAAAAACTTACATCAACCGAATTATTATTTTCGACATTTAATTCATCACAAACGATCATATTATTATCCCACCAATTCCTTGTCTTCCATAATCTTAAATACAATACTGTGCTAATACAAAATTCTATTATCATAATCCATCCAAAAATTGTACTAAATATATACCCATCACATAATACCCTCTTGAGAAATTCTGTCTTTGGGCCGAATGCTTCATCTAAACATGCCCATTTTTTTCCCTTAAACAATGGAAAAATGTTTGTGAATCCTATTGAAAGTAAGGTGTAAATATTTTATCTCAAGGTAGAAGAATCATGTACGAAAATTCATCGAATAAAATATATACTTTACCGGCAACAACCCACAAATAAAAAAACATACTGATGATTTATAATTTTTCGAAAAAAAAAATTTTTTTTAACTAGATTCAATTTAAATTTTATTGAGAAATCTCTGATTTTGAACTTACAGATCAACGATGATGTCAGTTTGATAGGGCCCATGATACCATCTGTGACTGAATCGCATGAAATAATATGCTGCGACGAAATAAAACAATATTAGAATCTCTGTGCTGATTGATATAATCGTATAAAGGAAACCTACTTGTGCTTATTAGAGTAAGGCCAATAACTATATGATATAGCAACTTTATACCACACAAGTTAAACCTATAAAGACGAAACATTTTAATGAATAAATAAATAAAATTACTGATGACATAAAGAAATCGAAATTTACGTAGTCGTGGAAAAATAAAAAGACATTGGCTGGGTGTCTTTAAGTTGTCCAAAAAAAGCAATCGCTTGTATAATTTCTAACGAAAAAGTAAAATCTTTTTAATGAATTCGTTTAATTAGCTCTCTCCATTAAAAAAACAATGAGTTTATTTTTACCTGCAAAGGTAATAAGTGAAACTGTTGCAAGCTGTAAGATTCGTAATCTTCGAAATAAAATTGGCCGATCATGAAGTGTCTTTTCCATTTTTTTTTTTTTAAAAAAATTTATTTTACGTTTATTAAATATTAAGTAATATACTTTATTAATTTTCCCCAGGAAAATAATATATTTACACTTTTATTAAATATTATATTAAGTAATAACTAGAATATTTTATTAATTTTCCCCAGGAAAATAATATATTGACTGATACAATCAATCTTTTTACAAAAAAGAAAAATTTTGAACAAAAAAGAACACCTTTAAATGTTCCTGCCTAGAAAAACACACTTAAAATAGTATATAATTTCGAAAGACAATTAATTTAATTATCAAACATAAAGTATATTATAACGTTCTTTATGCATAAAGTTGTAAATTATTACTGATTTTGGATAATATCATGTAGTTTCATTTCAGAAACGAACAATGAAAAAACTTTTTTTTTCTTGTAAAAGTTTTAGCCACAAATTTCTGTTTCGACAAACAAAAGGGACGTTTAAAATCCTAAAAATAATCTCGCCAAATAAAGAATGGATTTCCGAAACGAATATTAAAAAATATTAAAGATCCAATTATTGAAACCAACAATCACAAAGTGATCATCATCATATTGTGATGGAATAACATAAAATCTCGGTAAAAGTTTCATTTGCACCAACTCACAAAAACATTGAATATTCAGAAAAGTTTTAGAGGTTTAAGGAAGAAAAATTATGAGGACGAGTTAATGGAGGAATAAATAAAAAATGAAAATAGGTTCAGTGACGCAAATTAAGTACCGGGAAGATAATCTTTATTAAAATATCCGTCCCTGCATTATCATTGGAAAAAATCCAGAAGTAAATAGTTTAGGTTTTTATAATAATGAAAGATTAAAATTTTTTTATCGTAATTGATTGAAGCGATTTCATAATGAAAGAAAATGGTGAATATATATAGTCCATGAGATAGAAAATAAAATTTTATTTTATTTTTAATATTAACGAACAGTTAATACTCACAAAAAAATTAATAAGAATATATTAATTAAAAACGAAATATACCGAAAATTAAGGTAACTTTCATTTTCTGGGAAATTATTCCCTATACAATTGAGTAAACTAAATTTTTTAACGTCTCCGAAACAGCCTAACAATGTTGTTCTTCCGGGAAAATGCTTGTGTTTTGTCAATTTTAACCCATAGAGATTATATAAGACAATGAAGAGGCTAATTTATCTCTAGAAATCGATTTGCTATTTTCAAATTACTGATAAAGTTTCAAATTTTTGATCAAATGGTTTTATGGAATTTAAATTTCTTAGCAAAAATCTTAACAGTCCAAGTTTCTTTATATGGTTGTATAAAATGTTATTTGGAGTTGTAAATTTTGTCAAATTAGTGTGATAGAACATATGGGGCCTTTGCAATAGAAAGGGAAAAAAATGAGTTTTAAATCATAAAAGTAAAATTGATTTTTCCCGGCAGTTTCCCCATTTTCTATTGTGAGAAGTACTGGTGAGCAAGTTCAATTATCACCTGACCAAAAAGTTCACCAAATATTTATGGATGTAATTTGAAAACGAAAAGAAAGAGCCTTGAAAAAGAAAGAGGAAAACAAAACTAATGTAAATTAAATTATTATGTTGAGTTAGAAAAAAAAGTTAATACCATAGGGGAATCCGATGGTCATTGAGATGATAAATTTAACATTTTACCGCAAAGTCCCATTTATATGTAAATATGACATCCGTAGTAATATAAATAAAATTACATCTTGCAGCAAATGTTTTTCAAGCCACAAGATCAACAAATATGCGGATAAAGAAAGTTTAAATGAGAACAATACTTTTCTATAAATAGTTAGTAATTCATTTTTTCCTTTTTAGATGAAGTAGTTTTGTCACATGCTTTTAATATGTTTATTTTGGTAAGAAGATATGCGTTTCTAGATTTAAACAAAGAATTAAAAAAAAAAAAAAAAAGGACGGTTGGTTCCCAAAATAATTTAGTCGCGATATGAAAAAACCTATAAAATAAACTGATTCAAAAATCAAAATCATTTAAAATTATCAAAAATGCCCTTAAATCACGAACCTCAAGGTCTCGAACTTGAACTTTCAAAACGTCTTCAAAATGGAAAATGTTGTATTTTTACAGGAGCTGGTGTATCAGCCGCAATTCTTAATCTTGATCCAATACTTACCAAAGATAATGCTATTACGTGTATCAAAACTGTTGGAAGTTGGAGTGGTTTACGTACGTTTTGAAAAAAAATATTTTACAAATACTAGATAATATTTTGATTATTTAATTTAAATATATTTTTTAGTTGAAGCCGTAGCTAAAGAATTTTTCAAAACGTACGGTTCATCCTATCTTTCCTTGGAAGATATTAAGGATTTATTAGAATTTAGGAATAAAATTGACAAGAAAATTTCAAGTCTTGAAATTTTGACAAAAGAAGAAAAGGGTGAATTAAATAAAGCTCTTGAAATTGCATTTGAAACGGATTATGAATTATTGAAAACAAAACAGGCCAAAAATTTTATAAATGATCAAGAAAAACACGCCTTGATTTCCGAGATTGATGTTGACATTAAATTGATTTCATTTGTAATTAATAGAGTTTGTAAAGAATTACCACAATCTGCTGTTAATAAAGGTAAAAAAAAATTTCCTTTGAAGGCGGTGGGTCACGTGATAAAAGCATTTTTAATGACTATTATGTTTTCATTTCAAAGACTTTGAATGTCTTTTAAGAAGAGTCGCTTTGAATCCATGGGGTCGGTATGATGGTGTTGAACAATCAACGCAAATCATTAATGAACTCATTTCAAGAATTAACCATGTCACAACTTGTAAGTTTTGCTATATAAGAAACTGATTTTACTAAGGCAAGTAAAAAAGAAGTAACATTTCATTTTACGTAATGTATAGATTCTAAAAGTGGTGGCGCATGGGAAAGAGGTTTTAACGCTTGTCAACAAAGACTTAATGAATTAAAATATGAAATTGATTCTTGTAAGGCAAATGAAGTTGAAAAATTAAAATACTTTCAAGCTCGTTATAAAGAATTGCACACATTATTCGGCCAATTCTCAACCGGTACGTTTGAAGATGCTAACTTTACTTTTTAAGGAATTAAATATTCACCAATCCCCCATTTACTCTTGTTAGCAACCAATTCACCATATGCCAAAGATTTTGTCACGGATTTCAAATCCACGTTAATTGGTATTATGTCAACAAACGAAAACAATCTTAATGGAACTTTCAGGCGCCTTACAGAACTTGCTCTTAGTCAATTAAAGGTGATTAAGACTATGTGATTCTTTCCAAACCATGAAATCATTTGTTAATCATTCTTTTCATGATATCCAGTCAAACCCACACGCACCATTGGCAAAAGCTTTAAATCATTTATGCGAAAAGAATGTCCTCTTAACCGCAAATTATGATACATTTTTGGCCAGTGCATTATTTCGCAATGTCCTTGATTATACGGAAGATTTATCAGATATCAAACAATTAGATTTAATTATTCCCGACGATGATAAACCAGATTTAGGATTTCATTCGCGTTTCGTTATTCATGTGCATGGACTTTATTATGATAAAGGTAACTTTGTAATCTCGGAAGAAGAATATAAAAATACAGCAACGACCTTTCTTAATTTTTTAAAAATACTCATTGTACAAAAGAAACGTTCGTTGGTATTTGTGGGGGTTGGTGAGGGAGGGTTAACCGATTGGCATATGGCTTACTTGTTTAAGGATTTGGCCGAAATGAAAGATGCCAATGAACATCCCAATCATTATTGGATCGTGTTAAAAAATACTAGATTACCCGGTCCTGACGAATTTTCTGAGTTGGAAAGTACCGAAGAAGAAATGAGACCTACTTTAGATTATTTTGCTAGAAAGGTTAAGATTGTAGAATACGGAACTTATTACGACGAATTGTCACCATATTTAGAATACATTTTGAAACTTGCAAAAAGTCACCATATTTAAAGGGAGAAGTTGATTATTATTTTTATTATTATTATATATTCACAGGATAATAGTAATTATTTATTAAATATTTATGCTTTTTTTCCTGAATTTTTTAAATTTTTTTTTTTTTGATAAATTTCTAAAGAAACCAACACAAAAATTGTCAGCAATCATATAATGCTTAGAAAAAATTTCCACTTTGCCTCTGTTGTGTCGTTTGTTGTCGAATAACCTCGACTTGAATCTTTGTAAATGGAAAATTTTCAGTAAGCCGGAATGAATTTGGTACAGACGACATGGTTCGAACCGAACTATCCTGCGAATGATGTTTTACAACTTCTAAAGGGATTGGCTTATGCCACCAACCTTCATTTATAATATACAGAATGGTTATTAATAAACCACCATTAATGATTCCAAATATGAAGATTATATCTATCGTATCATGTTTCAATTTGATGATTGTAGTGACAGTATAAATTAATAATATCAATAATTGACAAGCGAATGCGAATGCGTATGAAAATATTTCTTTTGTTTTCTCATCCTCGGGTGAATCTCGGCCATTTAAATTTCTTCTCTTCAAATATAAATACGTATTTAGATAAAGGATGAATATAAGTGACATGTTAATTGTGATTATGACTAGAGAAATGCTAAGAATCGAAAAGTTATACGATTGAATTGTACACCTATATAATAAATATACAAAAGAAATTAATTTAAAATTCTAAAGGTCAAAGATTCCTTGATGAATAAATCATAATTTAAACGTACCAAGAATGAGTTTCACCATATTCACCCACGCCGAGCAAAGTGTAAAACGAAGCAATTGTCGTAACAATGATAAAAATTACACAATCGAATCGACCAAAGCTAAGATCGATATCTCTCGTAGCTTGATACCAAGTTATAAAAATGATGAAAGTTACCAAATTCATAACAAAATTAAATAAGAATACTGAAGTATATCCCATAATACTACACATTGGATCTTGCCACACGTTGTTCAATATTGCCGGACGACTCTATAAAAAATGATATTATAAAGAAAGGATTAGTTTAGATTGACTTGATAATTTCATCGTTCTGATTGGGTAAACTTACCAAGTTAATAATCTGTATAATGGAAAGGCTGAATTCTAAAAAAATAAAAAAGCGAGAAAAATTAATCATAGAAACATCGGTTATTTCACAATTAAAAGTCATTATTTACCAATTAATGCAATATAAAACGGGAAGCGGAGGCTCATCGGCAACGAGTTTTTATCAAGCCGTTTAAGCTGTTTCCATCGTAAAAATGTTCTCACGAAAATATATAGACATGCTATGAGGTCAATAGTTAACAAAGTTAAACTTATAATAATCGCTGGCTTGGAGCCATTATAAGGAATAGAATTTAAATCCCCCATCTCTTTATTTTAAATATCTAATTACACTGCATATAGCAAAAAAGTTCGTGAAGATTGATTTTAATTTTTTTCTTTTTTTCTTTTGTTAGGCGTGGTGGTATCGAAAGAAATATTTGAAAAAAAAAAATCTCTTACACCACGCCAATGGTTGAATAAAAGGGAAATTAATTTTTCTTATTTCTGTGCCTCAAAAGCACTTTCAAGTACTCACAAAAAGGAGCGAATATAAGGTCACAGAATAATCATAAAATTTCAATTAAAATTGAGAATAAATGGAATGATTTAAAATGCTATTTCTTATATAATTAATTTTGATTAATTTGACCGTTTTAAAAAAAAAAAAATTGCACTAATTCTCATTCCAAATCTCCGAAAAGTAATAAGAAAATCTTTATATCATATGGTAGTTCCGTGTACCATTTTCGCTGTGCCTTGAATATTAATTTCATGCTGCAATAAAAAAAAAAAAAAAAAAAAAATTCAAAAATTTCCGGAGATATTTCCCAAAAAGATAAATACATGATCACTTTAACTTCATTTGGTAGTATTTATTTAATGGTGATCGTTTTTTTTAACGTCACCTCGTCAATTGTTAAAGAAAAGAATTTTTTTATAAACCTTGATTTTGGGCAAAGAATTTTATGATTCATTCTGTTCGTGTGTTATTTTACGTGACAATTTCTAATATAAATTTCATTATTCTTTGTGGCAAATATTATTCCGTTTGATAAGCGACGTAGATTATTACCTATAAAATTTTGGTTCTATGTATGCTGCGCCGTTCTCGAATTCGAAAATCAAACCTGATTCTAAATTATTTAATAATTTCAGATTTCTAACAATGTAATATTATCTAACAACCTTATTCTTGCTTTGATACGAAATTGAATGAAAGGAATAGGTCTAGGTTGTGTTTAAAGTCTCACGATGTTAAATGATCTTACTAAATGAATTCTAAAATGTAATTGAAAAGGGGGTTAATTATGAAAATTGATTCCTTTTTTCACGTTATTTTCAAAATGTGATTAGAAAAAGGATTACCATAGTCGTTACAACGGGTTTATTTATATTTTTAATTTCTTGTTCGTAGCTCCCAAACGGTCTGCAACTTTATCAAGATACCTTTTTTTTAATCACTTTTAAAGAGTCCTTTTTTTAATGGCGCAGTTTTCACCAAATTCCCGCCAAAGGGTAAATAAACATTCACATGTGCTAATAAAAAATAAACGATATTTGTAACACAGCATAGAATCAGACTACCCTAATATCTTCGATCTCACCCCTTATTTTAAATAAATTAAACATATGGATTCAACTTTTAATCGAGAAAGATAAACCTTTTTTTTCACGAGATGAGAAAATTTCTGCAAGAATTTCCTTTTTCATGTCTTTTTTATTAAAAGAGCTCAAGAGTATATCCCCTGTGAAATTGAGGATGTCACATACAACTTAATTGTATAAATAATTAAAACAAGACAAAGAAAGAAAACACAAATAAACAAAAAAGTCGACTGATACTTCTTCAAACGTAAGTAAATATCTTCGAATATTTGGGCTATGATGATGTTTACGTCAAAAATCATTTTAACATCTTAATAAGGTAATTTGTATCAACTTTCAATAAAAATTTAAAAACATCACTGATTTTATTGTTGATAAATATAATAATAAAAAAAAAGGGTGATTGATATAAATACTCATACAAATACGTTATAGTTCGGGAGTTTCATGAACACATCGGTCTTGCCACTTGAAATTTGCCCTTGAAATTTACGACTGTTGCTTTTCGAGGCTATAACGTCCGTCGAAAGCAAAAATCAGAGAATATTTTTATATTTTTATTATTACCGAATCTTATGATGACGTGTTCAGTTGAACGAAAGACTCTTCTCATTTGGAGATTATTTCAATTTTGGACTTTCTTGGTGATACTTGTTCTAGGTATGTATGAAACGGTAAAGTTTTTTTTTTTTTTTTTTGACTTCATAAAATTGTATTTAAGAATCTTCTTTTAAATAGAATTCGTTCAGTCTTTGGGAAATGATTCGTAAGTTGATTTTTGAGCTGCAATATTTTCGTTTCTTTAGTGAAATAAAATAAAATGGTTCTCTCCTTTTTTGTTTTTTTTTAAGGGCTAAGAATGATCAAATTAGAATCTGGGTGTCCGAGGCAATAAGTTTATCCTTCTCCGGTACGTTTAGTTATCACGTGAATCAACACCAACTTTGTCATCCTTAACAATTTTTTTCTTTAGGATATTTATTGGTTAAGTTGAATTCACGATGGAAGGACTATTTTCTCAAGATAGATGTTTTAATTGATGGGTTCGTATATACATTTTCTTTTATGTTAAATGATATCAAAAGCACTTTGCCAAACTATTTATCGTTACATATTTTTTTTTTAAAAAAAAATCTAGATTCTTGTCTGTCATTTGGCTCGATCAAAGTGAGTTTTTTTCAGAGAAGGAATATTATTATTTCTTTGGTCCAAATCTTTTAAACTAATCTTTTGCTAAATGAACAGGCGTTCATAATTTAATAGCCTTTACCAATAAAGAAATGGAATGTAATAATGCAATCAAAAATGATACACAAACAAAGTGTCATTTATTCCTTGGTAACACGACCCTTTCATTTTTCGCGCTTTCTACCGCTCTCATCATGTTAATATTATCGATAGTAAAATGGAAGAAAGGGCGTGATGTTACATCATCAACTCATGTTCATGGCGTACATGCTAAATCACAGGCTTATTTGGTTCGAAAAGGTTCATTAAGCAATGGTGAACCCGCATTGTTCTTTTATTCAAAGAATATGCACAAATCTCCTTATAATAATACCCAAAGAAAATATATGTCCAATTCAATTGGGGTGGATTCAACTTCTCCCGTTAATATCTCAATACCAGAACCCGAAATGGTTGCTACCTCAAAATGTAGTCGTAATGATTATGTTGGTTTGGATGAAGAGGAGAAAGGTGATCCTGCTTTGAAGTATTGATTTTAGATTTTGGAAGTTTTTATGGTGTAATAAAAAAAGAAATGCTATATATTCTCACGAACTCTTTTTTTTTTTCTTTTTTACTTTTTTTTTTGATTACCAAATTCCTTTTTACTTTTACTCAATGTAAATAATGTAATTCTTAATTTGTATCTATTTCACGTTTACATTGATTTAATCTTTTTAAATAGTTCAATAGTTTTAAATAATAATAATCTTGTGAAACAAATAAAAATAAATTCTATTAATGGATCTACAAGATTTGGCGTGTGAAAATAACCAATCAATCTCCGGTGTAACTTCTAGCTTTTGGAATTGCGATAAAGTAAATATTTTCGTAAAATTAGAAGCATACCACATTTTATGGAACCTCCTTCTCAATCTTCGATGTGAAATCCTATTTGTCACATATGCCTTCTTAAATGCCAAAAATTGTTTTTAGGTTATGTCGGATTTAACATTAACTCGCTTTTTATTATATATATATACATTTATTTATTTAATCAGTTTCCACTTTCCACTCTTTACATGCAAAATTTTAATATTTTTGGGAAATTTGGAATGGAAAATTGCAAACGTTTATGAAAATTGTCTATAGACACATGTTCTAGAGCAATTGAAGGATGTATTCGTTTGGCATTCTAGAAGAAATGTTTATTAACTTAGATAGGTAAGCGGTTAACATTTTATTATTTTTATTATTATTGCTGCTCGATAACTAAACCTACTTCTTATTCTGTATTAAAAAAGGAACAAAATCCGGTGATGGGGAAAGGAAGTAGATATGTTTTATCCCATGTATGTAAAAGTTTTAAACATTTTCTATCATCATAATTATCCAAATTTCTTATAACGTTTTTTAACGTGAACCGTGGCAAAATCTTGTAATAGAATTCGTTTGTTTTGTACCTGAAGAACGAGCGGCAAAGAATTATTGGCTCCATCCAAAATGCAGTAAACTAGTACGAAGAAGAAAAGTAAGTAGATATAAATTTTCTTTTTTTTATTTCTTCATTATACGAATTTTATTTTTTGACAGTCATCGTATTTTTGTACAAATATTAGGACAACAACGAGTGAATTATGGCGGATGGGAGTTTAATCCTAAATTGTCGGCCCCATATTCTGCGACTGTGATGACGCTCTTTCTCGTCTGGTGTTATTATGTTTAGGATTCGGAACAATTGACAATAAAGTCAAATTTCTAATTCGTTCTCATCTTAAATGTCTTTTCATTTCAAAATTTCGACATGACTTGCCAGTGCTTTCTAATGATGATATATTAATTGAATATTCATTAATATATATTAAACTTATGCGGAAATCCAGAATCTTAATTTTTGAAACTTAGGAAGGAACGGGTCCCACCTTGGCGGTCCCATGAAAATTGTCGATTTCAAAGTTCATATTTCTTTTAAAAGTTATTCATAAAATTAATTATTTCTTAATTTGTTCACAATCATTTGGGACCGTTTAACATCCCTAATGAAAACTATAATAATTTTGTAATTACTTGAATCTATTTTATCAATAAAAAGTTATTATATAATTAAAGATCAAAATACCTTTTCAATTGTGTTTATCCCGTTTGGTCTATCGAACAGTTTCTGATCACGTATTAATGAATTATTTTTTTCTTTTATCTAACGTTTTTTTTTAGGATCCCGAGGCTTACTTTATTAAGAATTAATGAATACATAAGCTTTTAAATTTTAGAACTTTCGAAAAAATCTGGACTGGATGAACCTATTAATAATAGATGTGGAAATATGAACAAATATCTTTAAATTTTGATTGACCACAAATGAAATTAGGATCCACGATAATTCAAAAATCAACCCCGTGACCTATCAAAATGATGGAAGTTTTGAGGAGGAATACCTTCCATTCTTCACTTTGTTCGTCATTTCCGAAACTGAAGAAAATTCTTTCACACATTGATACTATATTAATAACCGAACACGAAGCGATCACACATGAAACGGCGTTCGACTGATTTGATTGATGTGATTTATGAGTGAATCCAATTTTTGCTTTTTAGATTCTTGGGCAGAATTATGAGGTAAGTAGTAAGGTTGGAAACTTATTCATATTTTTATACATAAATACTAATTAAACTTGCCTTTTGACTTCAATCATCATAGTGGCTTTATGGTAAGATAGAATATGAAGCGGAAAATTGGTTAATCCATCTGATACAACTAACAAATTATCCACATCTCGGCCCGTGGCAATCAATATTCCCTTCTTGGGATTTTTTCTCTCTAATAACAGTATGTGGCCATCGATCCAGAATCTTGTGATATGCGATCATACTTTCTGATTCAAGATCACGCGTGACAAAAGGGAGGTAAGTTTTCATGATTCAATCCTTTTATCCGCTACATGCAAGTAAAACAAAATCGATTAAAACTGACTAAACAAAAAATATCATGATTATCATTACTCAAATATCATCAATAATTCGTGGGAGGGAATACAATCCATAAAGCAATAACAAGGTTATTGCCCGAATAAATTACAGGAACACGAAGAGCTAGCTTAAATAAGCTATTAGAAACCTCTTTCTGCGGTTGATCTCAGATGAACGTAATGGATCTTACAAATTATGTCTTCATGGTGCCTCGTATGAAGATGAAAATGCATGAGGCTTTTGATGTTTTAAAGCTAATAAACATCGATTTCAATGCAGAACCAAAGCATCATATGTTTTGATGAAATACATTATGATCATGAATGCTCTACTCTCAAAACTGAATCAGAAGCTGGTAAGAATCATGCAACAAGCCTTGGAAAAAGAACACGAAACCTAAATCATTCATTTGAATACAATATAAGATGAAAACTGCTTAATCATACAAAGTTCTCCTAAATTATAAGAAAATTAGTCTTATTTACTGCATTATACAACAGATGTTTAAAAAGTAATTGAAGAAAATATTAAAATGGAAGTAATAAATTTTTTATTTGAATTATTCATATACTATTAAGATGTCTCATTATATGCCAGCTCAAAAATTGAGTCAATATGTAATTGGTCTTTTATGTAGAGCACTGATTAAACCATTCAAAATCTTTTACAAATTTACCTAAATTTGCAAAATACTCTAGGTGGTTTAATTAAGGGGAGATGATATATAAAGAATTTTAATTAAGTTTTACTATTAAAAAAAAATGTTTATTAAAGAAAACAAAAATACTAAATGTTCTAGATATACTCTTAAAAAAAAAAAATAATACCAGGAGGGATAAAAGTATTGCATAGTTTTGATTTAGATATTTTAATTAATTTATAACATATAACTGAATCATATTTTTTAGTAACATATTGTTTGGTTTATGCTTAATAAAATATTTAAATATTTGTTCAAATTAAAGCATTGCAAGATGTAAAATCAAAAATTTAAAAACATATTACTTTCAATTTATCATATATATTAAGCTTTACAATATTTGACTTTTTAGATGTTTCTATTGCAAAAGAAACCAAATAACAATTGTATAATAACATCCTATAATATTTATGATTTCTGAATAATCGAACCCAATTTTTTGCTGTAATAATACCTATTTTTCTTAAAAAAAAAAAAAAAAAAGTTCTTTAATGATGCTATTACTTGTATAAAATCAAATTTTAGAAGTATTTTCAAATTCAATTTTATGAATTGCAACATATTAATTCAAACTATAATAAAAATATTTCATTTATGTAATCGATAATTAATATATTGCTAAAAAAAAATATGGCATAGTTATATATGATAAATTAACTATAATATCTAAATCAAAACTATGCAATACTTTTGTTTTTCTCCAATATTTTTATAAAAATTAATGGTTTTATGTTTTTTAAATAATTCAAATAGTGTTTGTACTACTGCAAGATATTTTAGTTTATAATCAAATAGGTTCATAATTGGATAATTAAAAAAGACCAGTTAAAGGCTTTTGTATAAAAGATACCTCTCTAAATTATTTTTAAGAAATTTGAGTTTCAAAGATATTTGAGATTAAACATTGTTTATAATAAACATTTTTACATAAACTTCTATTAGGTTTTTCTAAACTTAATCAAGTTTTAGATTTAAAAAAAAGTTATTTATTTTAAAAAAGTTTCTAAATATTTAAGAAACCTATTAAAATAGTTTTCAAATAACATTATTATTCTGCATCTTATTTATTAAAATTATATAATAATAGATAACCTTTTTTTTAAAACTAAAATTAATCAATATCATAATATCACATAATTATTATATAAAAAATCTAAATACAATATACGATCTTGATTAATATTGTTCTATTTCTCATGAAAAAACTATTATTCAAATTTTCAAAACTAGATGAATCCAATAAGCTAATATATATTAAATTATGATTAGCCTATCACAAGATATTTGCGATTGAATATTAAAATCAGGTTTCTTTAAGTAGAATTTATTGAATTATAATTTCAGTTAATAATTCAATCATGATTATCTTGTGATTAAATAATCTGAAATTGATATTTGTTGGCTCATTAGGTTCGCCTAATTTTGAGAATTTAAATGGTTTTTTTTTAGTTTTCAAATTTAGTACTGTTGTTAGTTCAAAAAGCTTTAAAAAAGGTTTATATGTCTTGAGACATAACCGATCTAACTTGAAAGTTTTATGTAGCCAACTATATCTCTTTATTTTATTTAAAGCTAAAAAGCATTGACTGATAACCTGTCACATGTTAACCTGAAGATAAGACCACAATTAAGTAATAGCCTATGCTTGTATCCCTTATATCCTTAGCATAATTAGTTATTCAGATAACATAACTGGATTGAGGTATCAAACAAGTTCTAATTTCTGAGATCAGCAGACTAGACAAATTTACTATACCGTCAAACAACCTAAGAATCAAACCCAACCTCAAACTCTAGTATACCTTAACAATTACGATGAAAGAAGACCTATGCAATACTAATTACCTATAATGATAATTATCTACCTTTTGGGTGTTATAGAACATA